ACTGCTGAATAGACTGATTTAAGGAAGGATTAACTGTGGTACACAAGAACTGTCCAGAAGCAATGGAGAGATGAAGGGAGATGAATTGGTTAGGGTGGAACAAGAGGAGATAACTAGGAATAACTGGATGAAATTAGGTGAAGGACAGTGTAGAAACAGCTAGGCCAGCAATAGCTTTCTGATGGTCAGATCTGTGGAAGCCTCACCATGTGAGACATTTAAAACCAGCATTGGGCAAGGCACTGCAAGCCATACTGGAAGAAATGATCCTCCAGTGGCAGGGTGATTGCCTAGGCTAGCCTGCATACTAGGGCTTTTCTCCCCTATAATTCTCTGATTAGCTATTATTTGGTTGGTTTTATTAACAGTGGGATGTGTTTCCACAGGTTATCAGCGTCCCAGAAGGAGATTTCTTCTTTGACTTTGTCAGACATCTTACAGACTGGATAAAGAAAGCAAGACCTGCAAAAGACGGTAATAATGTCATTCTTCTGTTTTGCTGCTATTTCCTCTCCCAGGTACAGTGCTGGCCAGGGAGGTCTCATAAAGCCCATTGAAATCATTTTTAAAAGGCTCCTCTCGCCTACCATACCCTGATGAAAACTATATCTGTAATGTGTTTGGCACCGTGTAATATTTGGGTCTTGGGTGTTCATGTAAATCATGTCAACAGCAACTCTGCACCTAAGAAATGATCCATTCTTGGGCAGGGAGCAAACTTTTACTCTTGCTATCCATAACTTCTAAAAAGAACTGCACAACAGCTAACACCCAGCAATACTCCAAGCTCTGACTACTTATATGATCAGTTAGAGGGCATTTATTATCTTTGTAGTACTTAAGACTAAATCCCCCCCCGCCCCCCGTCGACTCCCAGTAATTTCACAGTATCCACTTTAATCCTGTTCCCATTTCTATTAATGGAATCAAGAATCTTCTGTGGTCATACAGATCACAGGTGCCAAGGGCTGGCAATGCAGAGATCAACTAGCCCATGCCTCTAAATAAGTGACTTCCCCTGAAGATTGACGTTTTGGGGTTGCTGTCCGGACTTTGGCAGATGTAGAAACTTTCTGAGCTTTTAGCATTGCTTTGCTAGCTGAAATGCAGCTTCACTAACTGGCCCCAAGTAATTTTCCAGAAACTTCCACAGTACATTGTAATGCTGTTGCTATGAAATTAAATCCATCCTCCTTTCATTCTAGATTTGCAAGTGAATTCAGTGCTGATTTAAGTGAAAGCCTGAAGACCACTAACTTAAGAGTTCATAGAGCAATTTAGGCAGCCACTCTGTAGCCAGGGCACTTCAGTCATGGCTTTAACACTTGCTATTTCATCCCTGAGCCTCCTGCAGGAGGGACTGTGAATTGCTCCAAGGAGCGAGCGTCTCTTTTATACAGGTTTCCATCTAGTGGTTGAAGCGTTTGTTACAAGCCTAGTCAATGTTGAACAGATTCCTTTTTGCAGGTATAGTGCCTTCTCTCACATATCAAGTGTTCTTCATGAAAAAACTGTGGACAAACACCATGCCTGGGAAGGATTCAATGGCAGACTCCATCTTCCACTATTATCAGGTACTCCATGAGTTTACAATACTGGGGGAGGTCTGGGTGACTCAGGGAACTAGTAAGGGGATAAAAAGGCTTCCTCCTTCTACATCAATTGCTCAAATCCAACTCACACCAGTAGTGACAAATAGAGGTTTCCATGTGCTGGCTGTTAGGAGGACTGAAGGCCTTAGTCCACTCCTCTTGAGTAGGTATCAACATCATAAAACCATGGGTCAGAGGCACTAATTAGCCGTCTTCTCGGCAGTCCCAGCAGAGAAGCCGCACTCTGAATAGCCCCAGAGATTTTTCATCTCTTTCATGTCAAGGTGATCTGCTCAGGTCATGTTTGAGTAGCAGAGACAGGGCAGAATGCCACACCGCTGCTGTATGTGTTCTGCAGCTAAAGAGCGGTCTCTGTTCTGCTGGGCTGTCTGGCCAGCTACTTTCAAGTGTGAAATTCACACGCACACACTATTACAGTCATTCTCGATGAAATGGTTGTTCAAACATGAACGTGCCTCCTGCTGATTATGTCATACATGGTCTTGTTGACAGATGAAGGGTACTTTTTACATCATTCTCGAGGTTATATGGCTTAAAGGGGAAGCTTGATTTGAATAAAAGAAAAAGCCATTCGATTCGAAATGATCTCCCTCAACAGCTGAGCTCCTCTGGGCCAACACAAGTGACAAAGTGTGTTAGAGTGTGAGCTAAAATGGCCTTGGTCAAAGCGGTCTGGCTGAGAGATGAGCATCTAGTGGTGGCCAAGCTAACCCAGAGCTGGTGCTCTAACTAAACATTTCCGCCCGCCCCATTACAATGATGATTTCAGAAAAATATTGCAGTTCCCAGGCAGTTCCTCCATAACTAGAGAGGAGTGAACGGCAGCCAACGCCATGAACTCCATTGGGGAATTCCCCATATAGATTGAATTTACCTGGGAAGCTCTTAGTTATTGCTGTGATGGCAGCCATAGAAGAGATCTCTAAGATTGTAAGAGGTAAATGGTGCTGTAAGTTACACCTCAAGGACAGGGCTGGCTCTGGCTTTCTGGCCGCTCCAAGCAAAAAAAAAACAAAAACTGCGGCGCGGCCGGAGCCAGGGTGCAGGGGGACTCCCTACCCTGCAGATGTGCCCCGGCTAGCGAGGGGTGGGGGAGGAAACGAGGGGAGACAGAGAAGGGGGGCGTCCAGGGCTTCAGTGGGGCGCTGCCCCGCGGCCCCTCCCACCGTGCCCCCTGCCGGGAGGGCTCCGCACCGCTCCGGTTGGCTGGGAGGGAAGGACGTGGGCTGCCCTGCCGGGCTTGCTGCAGGGCGCTCCCGTCCTCCACGTCGCTGCCCCCTACAGGGCGGCCGGAGCGGAACAACAACAAACAAAAACAAAAAAAGCGGCCGTGCCGCCCTAGGATTGGGCAGAATGCCGCCTCCTACAAGCTGCCACCCCAAGGACCAGCTTGTTCGGCTGGTGCCTGGAGCCGGCCCTGCTCAAGGAACTGGCTGTAACTCACATGCTGAA